GCTAGAAAATAGTTTGTTTTGAAACAGCTGTTTTGTTAAAATAACATTCATTTGAAAAATGAACTGGTCACCTGTAGAAGGAATTTAAAAAAGTAATCACGCTAGTAAGCTAGTGACGTAATTTTTCCTATGTTTATTATCCATACCGTTATCCGTTCTAATACCCGTGATAATTACCCACCCCCATTGAATACATACTATTGAATATGCACATACTAATTTCCCATATTCAATTAATCAAACTAAGATATTTAGTTTAAATGAAAGTGATATTTTGCCTTCATTAGCGCACCCAAACGTGACCTCACATGAACTCACGCCAAACAATGTTTTAGATTATACAAAACTATAGTAAGTCTACTCGCAGAATCCTAGGTCAATGATAACATTGTGTTTGATTTAGGTGGTAAAAATAATAGTTTTAAGTCTGATGTTGTAGAAATATATTTACGTTAAATCAATTTAAATTTTTCTTGTTGTCAATTTATAGATTGCATAGTGTTAATAAGAGTGATTATATTAGAAGTTTAAAATCTCATTTTCAAGGTATTGAATGTCAAAATTGTATTGTAATTGGGGATATGAATTTAAATTTATTAGAAGACTCGTCAATTATTGTTAACAATTATATTGGCACAATGAGTAGTTTTGTTTTGATTCATTAATAAACAATCCAATGCGTATTTCTGATTCGTCACAAATGTGTCTAGATCATGTATTTTTGAGAATTAAGAATAGGTCGAGCTTTGAAGTATTTTCAGGTGTAGTTCATTGTGGTTTGACTGGCCACAGTAAGACCAGTGTAGGCCTGTCCTGAGGCTCGGACGACACAAACGACACGACACGCCACCTTGAAGAGGTCAGCACGCCTATCAACTATGATAAGCTAAATAAGATATTAGCCACGGTTGACTGGTCACTCGTTCTAAGTCAGACCAATTCAATTGCATTTGATATTTTTATTGAAATTTTAAATCATTTCATTAACTTATGCAAAGAAGTAAGACTTATGAAATGTAAATATAAGTTTTTAAAACCATGGATAAATTCATCACTATGTAGTAAGATCAAAAGAAAAGAGATTATTTATAAGAAAACATTAAAAAAGGAAGCTATTAAACTATTATATTTCGCTTAACCCTCCGAGTGTCCCTTGTTTTGGCCTTAATGTCTGCCTATTTTTTGCCCATTTGCAAGGTTTTATTAAAACGGATTTGAGAAGCTTGAAAACAATGTTAATTATACTGTTCTATATACCATTTTGTTTGTAAAATCATGGGCTTCAATATTATCTATAAAACATAAGGAACATTTCTTTCAAAAAAATTTTTTAGGTAAAAAAAAATATTTTGGAAAATTTTCAAAAAAAATAATAAGTTTGCGCTCAATGAAATTGTATAAATTATAGGCCTATAAATATTTGAAAATAGCCACTTTGTTCTAAATTTTATGAGGATTACAAATATATAATAACTAGCTGTACCCGCGGGCTTTGCCCCGTTTAACTTCATAAGTATTCGCATGGCTCAATCACGTCCTGGTTGAAGTTCGTTCGCTATGCTCACTCACCTTTAGGTTGAAGCTCGTTCGCTGCGCTCACTTGCCTTCAGGTTAGCTCGTTCACGACGCTAACTTGCCTCCAGGTTGAAGTTCGTTCGCTACGCTCACTCACCTTTTGGTTGCAAATTAGCTGTTGTCATAAATAAAAAATAGTGCTGGACCCTGTTGGTAATCCATGTAACTTTAATACTATTGAACATCATAGAACAGAACCAACTTGTTTAATTGAAACAGCTGTTAAGATTCATTAGTTCCTTTTAAATATGAAAAATCATAAGGTTAACATGGGAAACTCCAGAGCCACTGGGGCGGAGCCCGAAAGCCCGATCAGAATAAAAACTGCTTAGTTTTCCTATTTAATGTCCAAAGAATCGATGTACCGAATTTCAGCCTCCTAGGTAAATGGGAAGTGGGAGAATTAATGATGAGTGAGTGAGTGAGTGAGTCAGTGAGGGCTTTGCCTTTTATATATTTAGATATAAGGAAGTAGATTTGCAAATAAATAAGTTATGGGCAAGAAACTGATTTCAGTACATAGCGTTTAGCTAAGAATGCATAGCCTAACCATAGCTAGGAATCTGGCTGATAATTTACATCAATATCACTACCTACTTCTTCAGGATCATCAACCAGCCCTTCAAAATCACTTAAATCTTCTTATAATGCACCACGTATATCAATACTTTTGATTTTTAACACTAAAACGATGATAAACGTAATAAAACACATCAGTCATCGGCGCGAGGTTAACCAAGCTGTTTACAAATACGCACGTCAGCTGTCTGCTACAATATTTTCGGAACTAAAATGAAAAGCGCTTAGAGACAGACCTCCGGAGAAAGCTCTGAATCTGACAAATAAAACGATACCTAATTCGATCCAGTTCAATCCGATTTTGTCAGTCATAGAGCCTTCGCCGTAAACAGTGTTTGTGAGTCGATGCATCGACACAAAACACTACACAAAGTCTGTTATGTGTCGACGCATCGACAAATAACACTCGGAGGGTTAAAAATAAAATAAAAAAATATTGAAATTAAAGAAACAAAAAAGAATTTATTACTATTGCAATTTTTTTCAGTAAATGTAATGGCAATTCGAAACTTAATGAATATTTTTTAAATATAGTTGTATATAGTTAAAAAAGTTGTAAATTCATTAAAAAATAATAAGGCTCCAAGAAATGATGGAATTATTTCAAGCTTATTTAAAAAGTGCTTTATTACTATTGTAGATATTTAGAAACATTTAATAAATCTAAGCTTTAATACTGGCCAGTTTCCAGAAGCGTTAAAATAAAAAAGCTAAATGAATTTTTTTTCCCAGGACGCTAGGCACGAGCTCGGAATTGTTTTTCACATTACTTCAGGCTAGACCACAGGCTAGGTTGCGGCATTATCACTTAGATAAAATCCATTGGCAGTTTGGCGGGATTCGGGATTTGAACCCCGGGACCTCTGGAACCGAAGTCCCGCGCACAAACCACTAGACCAGCTCGCTCCCGAAGCTTTAATACTAGCCACTTTCCAAAAGCGTTAAAATAAAAAATTCCCCCGCCGCAGCAAACCTGCTGACTAAGCAAATTTCCATTTGTCTGGATAGATTTTCAATTAAATCTATTTAAATAACATAAGGTTTCATGAGTACCTAGGTTTGCTGCTACAAGGAAACTAATAAAGTGTACTTTTTTTAGTAAAATATAAAATAGATTAGTAAATAAATAAATTTGCAAAGTTTAATCAAAATTTAACCATAAACAAGCAAATTACAACATTTTACAATATTTTCCATAAAAATAACATGGGAATTTTAAATTTGCAACTTTTTTAATTTTCTCCGTTACCAATAAACGTATAAAAACACTTTAATATACCAAATTATTTGTTTTTTTTTTAGCTCTTTAAAATGATTTAGAGAGAAATTGGGAAATATTGTGTGTTGAGGGTCAAAAATTAGAAAAACCACTTTTTACGCCATAAAACCCCCCGTAAAACCCCATTCCCATTGTCCGATCATGCTGGTTCGCGAACTCATTCAAGTTTATCCCGCCTTACACCTGTAAACCAAATTTCATCAAAATCGGACAAAAATTACTCAAGTTGTTCACGGACGTATATATATAACATATATATATATCTATATTTATATATATACATATATAAAATTTGAACGAATGGTGTTTTTGGCCTCTGGAGACATCAAAATGAAAAAGTAAATCGATCCCGGGCCTAGGTCTTACCGTGCCACCTACGGTAATAGCTACTTCCCTGTAGGGAAATTCGCTAAAGCGAACTGAATGAGAACACGTTTAGCATAGTTGGATAGTTTAGATGGAATAGTTTTAGATGGATATGATTATGTTGTGTAATTCCTTTATTCAAGAAAGGTGATAAACAGAAAATGTCTAATTATAGACCGATTTCATTGACTTCTGTTTTTGCTTAGATGTTTGAAAAGTGTATTCATACACTAAATATACAAGGGCTATCCAGAAAGTAGATTACGTTTTTGTCTGTATCCGCTAGGGGCGGGGCTACCGTGACCATCTTGGTGTTAGTTCGTTATGCAGCTCAGTCGGCATCTAGCCGTGCTAGTAAGAGGTTTCTGCTGTACTCTGTTAAGTTACTGTGACAGTTTAAAATTTCTGTGTTAATTGAAAATGCCGCGAACTGTGAAGTGCGTGCAGTTATAAGGGTTTTGACTGCAAAAACTGTAAACTGATAGAAGCTATTGGCAACATTGTGAAGTTTATGGGGAAAACATTATTATTGAAGGTGGAGTTCGTCAGTGGGTCATCAAATTTAAAAATGGCCGAACTAACGTTCACAACGAAGAGCGAAGTGGAAGACCCATCATTGTGACTGCCGAACTTGTCGAAAAAATCGATGCCGATGTCCTTAAAACTCAAAAGTTCAAAATAAGAGAACTCTCCATCTCTCTATGGGGTTTTCACAAATTTCGTGAAGTTTGTTGCACGAGATCATAACCAAAAAGCTTACCAAACTATAACCAAAGAGTCCATTCTTTTTTTTTTGCACACACTTCACAGTTTGTGACATTTTCAATTAACACAGAAATTTTAAACTGTCACAGTACCTCAACGGAGTACAGGAGAAACCTCTTACTAGCACGGCTAGATGTCGACTGAGCTGCATAATGAACTAACACCAAAATGGTCGCGCTAGCTCCGCCCCTAGCGCATACATACAAAAACGTAATCTACTTTCTGGATAGCCCTTGTATTATTTACACAAGATATTATGAGTCTTTATTTTTCATGTAGATTTAATTAATCAACTTCTTTAATAAAAATAAATCAATAAACTACCAAACTGTATGTTCCAAAACAAGGAATGGACTGACTATTTCACCAGATGAGGTTGGGCTTGTATTTTTCTACCAATAATCTGACCTGACTTTGGATTCTACAACTTTTTTAGATTACACATTCAACAGAAAGGCCTTATCTCTGTGATATGTGTGGGAAATCGTACAAGACAATACAAGCGACTGAAAGACACAAACGTTTCATGCACTCAGAGAATGTTCCTAAGTGGCCTTGTCCTCGTGGCTGTGAACGTACGTTCAAGTATCGAACCCATCTTAGTAAACACTTGAAGCGGCCTTGCAAAATAAGTATCAGGTACGTATCTACACATTATCTTGAAAACCCTGGAAAAGTTCTTGTATATGGATATTATTTCTTATTCTACTATATTTATGCAGCAATATTCTTCAATATCGATTTGTTGCAAAATGTAAGTTACTACAGTTCATTATATACATCCATACAATCAAGACTAATGATCTTAATTTGTAGGCTTAAGGGGCCAGTGTAATTTTTCTCATGACTTCTCAGTCTTGCGGCGAGAGCTGTGTCAAGTTGGTATTTACACTACAGTAGAACCCCTGATATACAGTCTTTTACCGGTCCTCTGTTTATCCAGCCCCTTCCAGAAGGCCAAATTTTCTTTACAGCTTACAGACGTGTTGATGCAAGCACTAGATTTGATACTTGAGCGTTCTTACTATTTAGAATAAGAATAAGAATAAGAATAAGAATCCATTTATTGTCATTTGTCAATTTACATTGCTATAGACAACGTCAAAGAAATACATTAAAGTGCAGTATAAAAGGAGATGAGTACAATGTACTTGTCAGGATAACAGATAAAACATCAAAAAATTAACAATTAGCAACAAATCAATATAAACTATGAAAATTAACAATAAATAAATTACAACTATTCACCAAAGCATCACTGGATCAAAGCTCAATAATATTAAGTTAAAATCTACATGCTAAAAACTCATCAAGAGAATAAAACGCTTTATTTATAAACCAGCTTGACAGTTTTGATTTGAATGGTTGGATTTCAAGGTTTCTGATCTCTGGTGGCAATTTATTGAAGCACTTGATTTGTAGATATTTATGGCTGACTATTGTTTTCCGCAATCTAAAAGAGGGTGGGACAATATCTTGTGCTCTTCTAGTGTTATAATTATGAACTTCCTCAAAACATACATAATCACTCTGGTTTTCCTTTACATATACAAGATTTTGAAATATGAAAATGCAAGGGACAGTCATTATATTGTAATCAATAAAACATTGCTTACAGTCATCTTGATAAGGTAGATTGGCTAAAATCCTTACTGCTTTTCTTTGCCAAGCAAAAACATGGATAGCACCTCTACTATTTCCCCAGAGCATTGTGGCATACAGCAAATGGGAATGAAAATCACTAAAATAAGTATTTAATAACATATTTCTACCAACACATTGTTGTAGCTTACGTAGCAAAAAACAAGCCCTTGAAAGTTTTGAAACTACTGAGTTGGTGTGAGATTCCCATGTAAGCTTCTGATCTAAAGTGACCCCTAGTAATCTAACAGGCTTACAATCTTCCTCTGAGTCTAATTTTTTCAAAGTAAAACAGATTGTTTCAGTCTTGTTGGCATTGACTGTAAGGTGGTTAGCATTAAACCAAGAACTGGCTAATTCCATTACTCTGTCACTGTGTGCTTTTACATTTTTTAACACTTTATCGGTAACTACAAAAGAAGTGTCATCCGCATATAGAATGGTTTTACAAGGAATATTGCTAGGCAGATCGTTTATATAGATAAGAAATAAAAGTGGACCCAGAACTGACCCCTGTGGAACCCCTGCAAGGACCTCCTGAAAAGAGGACTCAATGCCTGCCGATGAAACCTTGTGCAATCTACCACAGAGATAAGTTTTAAAGAATTGCATCTGCTTATCATCTATACCATAAAATGTTAGTTTGTTTAGAAGGGCTTCATGTGATATACTATCAAAGGCCTTGCTGAGGTCTACAAGAGTCATATTAACATAATCACAATTTTCAAAGCTATTAATAATACCAGTTACAACTTCATTTAATGCTTTAGTTGTGGAACGTCCAGGTCGAAAACCAAATTGGCTACTACTTAAAACATTATGTTGATCCAAAAATTCTAAGAGTTGGTTCTTAACACATGATTCTATTATTTTTGAAAATACAGATACAATACATATTGTTCTATAGTTATCAATACATGACCTGTCACCCTTTTTGAAAAGCGGCATACTCTTGGACATTTTTAAACAATTAGGAAACAAGGAGCAATAAAAGGAAAGATTGATCAAATATGTCAAAGGTGATACAATATTAGCTGCAATATGTTTGATAACTCTGTTACTAAAACCAAAAATATCTTCACTCTTAGATGGTTTCAGAGATCTCATTATTTTAAGCACATCAAGCTCACTAACATAATGCAACTTAAATTTATCAGGAGGCTGGTCTACATTGTTTAGAAAGGTGAAATAACTCAAATTACCTTTATTAGTTAATTTAGTACTATCAACCACCTTTTTCCCAATACTTATATAGTTATCATTAAATTCATTAGCTGAAATAGGTGGAATTGGATTTTCCCGCTGATAGTAGTTACCAGCTTCTGATTTAATTACTTGCCATGCAGCTGAACACTTATTCTTAGAACTTTTTATTCTGCTTTCATTGTGCATGATTTTGGCTTCCTTTATTTTAGACCTGTACAATTTCTTTTTTTCTTTGTAGTAGTTCTTCAGTGTCATGTTATTTTTATAATTTGGTATCTTTAATAGATCCTGCAACAAAATTACTGTGTTTCTCATTCTTCTTAAGCTATGGTCAAACCATGAAGAATTATGTCTAATTGGTTTTCTTTGTTGAACTTTTTTACTCTTTGTTGGACAACAGCTATTATACACGGTTGATAGTTTAGTTACAAAGTATTCAAATGCAAAATTAACATCCTCAATACCATACAACAAGTCCCAATTTAATATGGAGGTTGCTTCAATAAACTCATGCAAAGTCTCATCATTTAGTTTCCTATATGAAATATTTACAGATTGGGAAACAAAGGTAGGCACATTAAATTCAAAGTAAATAATCGAGTGATCTGAGATCCTGTCCTTCCATATACATGTTTTATAAAGACTATCATCTAAATCAGTAACTATATTATCAATACAGGTTTTGTTTCTAGTTGGAAATTTATTTACACATTTGAGGTTAAATGACTTTAAATGGTTAACAAACATTACAGTGTCTTGGTCCACACTCTTTAAGATGTCAATATTAAAATCTCCCCCAAGTACAATTTTGCATTTAGGTTTTTTTCTTTGCACGTAGTACAGAAGATTGTCAAGATAATCCAGAAATGTTTTACAGTTAGAGTTGGGAGTTCTGTAAACAGATATGAACACCACATTAAATATATTTACATATATACAAACAGCTTCAAGGATACCAACTTCCGTTAAATGACCAATATTGATCACCTCAAAAGAAATGTCATCCCTAACAAGAATAGAGGCACCTCCATAAGCATTCTCTCTACAAAATGAAGAAGCCAATTTAAAACCTACTGGAACATATAAGGAGACTTCTAATCTGTGCAACCAGTGCTCGTTAATGAGGACAATATCACATTTAGCATCATCTAAAACAACAGCTAATTCATTCAATTTATTTCTTATAGACTGGGCATTTAAATGCAACGGACACCAGAATCAGTTGGTTTTGGTTTACTTATCTTTGGGATACCTGCTAAATTACACACAAGTCTGCTGTTTAAACTACAATTAAAATTAGTGCTTAAGCTATCAACCTCACAATGCATCAAGTTGTTAGATGGTGCACTACCAGTGGAGCGTTTCCCGATGTAGGTCCTTCTGATGACTGCTTAGGGCTTGATATGATGTCTATCAGTGCTGATTGCTCACTGATGGTGATATCCTCCGTTGCCGGTGACGATGACGGAGTCTGTCTTGCCTTTGAGGTTGCTGCTATCCTTATCTTGTCTGCTAGCCAAATTTTTCCTTTTTGGTTTAAGTGCATTCCATGTCTTGTATGGAGGTCTCTACTAGCTTTGCTGGCTTCCACCAGAGAAACATTGTCAAGTTCTTCACAAATACCTTTAAGAATCACATTAGTTTTTCTTGTTTCCACATTCACACAAGACCATTCTACCAAGTCATATCGATTAGGAAGATCAACCAGAATAACTTTTTGTTTATGGTATTTTTTTAAAGTCTTAGTTATGGAGTCAATGGCCAAGTGTGCTTCGTTACAAGATACATCATTAGTGCCACAGAGAACTACTAAAAATCATTGTCTCTCAAGTTTTCTCCATCGATGTTCTTATGATCTAAAACCTGATCGGCTCTTCCCCCAGGTTTAACAAAGCCAACTGGTTCATATGGCTGTTTATTTTTGTTAATATACCATGTCAGATCCTTACCATGGCTGTCAGAGCAAAGCAACATTTTTGGATTTGGAACTTTCTCACCTCCGTTATCAGTGTTGGTGGTGTCAGTGGTGGGTGATGCTAGGTCCTAGATCTTCCTCTGTGGGAGAGAGAGCTTCAAAGGGATTTTTGGTTGCAAATGAGGGCCTATTAGTGTTCCTCATCACTGAAGTTTTCCTCTCAGACGATGTACCACCTTTTCTGGGTATTTACAATGTTTACATTTTTGTTTACACTATTCAGCTGAGCTAGTAGGCCTAACCTCTGAACAGTTAGTTGATTATTTCCAAAGCGGGATTAATACAGTACATTAAGTTAATTGTTGCATTTCACAGAATGGATGAGATAGTTTAGTAGTAATGTATGTACCATTTAAGGCCTAATGATCTTCAAGGCCATTGTCAAGGCTATTGTCATTTTACCTCCATTACTATTTAATAGTTTTTGTTACCTGGAATCATATATATATATTTTTTTTAACTTATGTTTGTTTAAACTTTAACCTACAAATAAATATCTTTTTTTTACAAACACGTTTTTTTTCTTTTAAAGATAATCCCAAAATTGACTTGGGCCATACTTTTGACTGGATATATTAATGACATATTATTATTAGGTATGAATTGTCATTTTCATAGTAGGTTGGTTTATCTGGCCAAATCATTATCCGGCCAGGGGTTTGGTCCCGTGGTGGCCGGATATGAGGGGTTCTACTTTACATACAAAACAAAACCAAATTTTTGCCCATGCTATGAGGAGGCATCATCCTCAATGGCAAAGCTGTGACAGTTGCAACATCATGGGCGAAACGTTTGGTTTTGTACATAGTGAAAACAC